TATTTATTAGCAAGTTTGATTTTTCACAGTCTGGATGTTTGAGCCTTTCTATTAGGAATTTCCTTTCTTACAAAAGGCAGCTCTCTTCCAATAAAACCATACCCTGTAGCTTTATAGGTAAAAATACAAGGGAATATAAATATGTTCTGAATCCTTATGATGAATATGCATACTAGCCTCAGCAGGCTTACCTATGCACACAGCACTTCGAAAAAGAAGTTTTAGCATTGGTTTTTGCATATTAAACTTCCAAGGACTTTGCATGAATGTGTTGGGGGGGTTGGGTTTGGTTTTTTTTTATTACTAACAGCAGCATATCCCTCTCCTTTTTCTGCATATTGGAGTTGTTTGGTTCAAAGCTTTATGCAGTTTCAGTAGAGTTTTGGTACTAGGATAGGCATTTGTGCACTATCAGCTAGGTTTGTAAACAAAGTTAATTTGTATATCATCAGTATTACAAGATGGTATACAATGAATAAGAAACAGACTACCTAGTTTTTCCAACGTGCATCAACCCAGAGAGATAACCTGGGATGAACACAATTTCAGCTAATGTCTTAGTTGACTTTGCCCCAAAGCAGATGATGAGTCTTTGCCATGGAAAGCTATTGTGGACAAATTTGTGGGATAAGCACCAAGCTGTCACAAAAGTGTTTCAAAACTACTTTAAGATACTGCCCTAGAGAGTAGCCCCAGATATTATTTATAAAGGGGCAGATCTTCTTCGTTCAACACGAGTAGTTCCATCAAAAAAACACCAAACCAAAAAAACCCACACACAGATGAACTATTCACGTGGGTAAGGCAAAGTGGATGTGACGCACATTTATTATTTTTACTGCTGTATAACCTAGAACAAGTTTCTTGTCTCTGGCTTCTTGCTTACAGTCAACTTTATGACCCCAGGCCTAATCCTAAAGAGATGCTGAACTTCCTGAAAGGTCCTGAAGAAACACAGACTCCATCTGACTTGACTGGATCAGGCCCTTTGAGTGACTGAACTAAGCGTATGACAAATCAGGTATACAATCCTGGTATCATAAAATATGAAACTGAAACTATTCCCTGGTGCTTTTCTGTAGACCACATGTTTTTAAACCATAAAAAGATTTATTTCCCACTTTTCATGCATAATCTGCCATATTCATTATTTGAAATATCCCATAAAGAGATTAAATAGGAATTAAAGTCTGGGAGCATCATATCCATCACTGTGGTACAAACGGATGCTGAATTCTAGAAGTCATTTAGCCTTGTATGTAAAGACAGTGGCCGTTTTCACTTTGTTTCACAAAGAACAAGGAAAACACAACACCCCAGAAGATTTTCAGATGTGTTTTTCACCCTCCAAAGAAAAGGGTGGATGACAAAGCTACACACACACCTTTTAATCTTCCGCTTAGGGTTTTTACACATATATTCCCTGGCAAAAACCCCAGGGTCTTCTCTCTCCCCTCCCCTTCTCTCAGCCCCTTTCCTGCCATCTCCCTTGCTATAACTCAGCTAACCCAACAGAACCAGTCAGTTTTAAATTTCAGTTGGGACCCCGGTGACCTGTTAATGAATCTACAGAGAGGAGAAAAACTCACAGTGTTGAGTTATGCCTGGTGTTGCTAGCTGACTTGGAGTCAGAAATGCTTGAAGCGTTAACGTAATTGCAAGAATGTGAAAAATGAAGCGTTGGGCTCCTGAGCAAAGCGAAAGGTCAAAGCAAGCCCTACACAAAACAAGTCTCTGGAAGATGGCCTCATTAGACCATTAAATCAGCTTCTCCTTTTTCTCCTTTGTAAGATGTTTAGAATGGCTTATTTTTATTATTATATATATTTAACTCTTTCTCTTTCCAGGGCAGGCGGAAAGTTCATCAGACTTACTACGTAATTACTAATCTCGAAAATAGTATTACATGGCATTGATCTGCATTTGTGGGTCTGAACTGGGATAAAGTCAATAAGTGCTTGGTAGATTACAGGTCACTAGTACTTCGGTTTGCTAGATGATCAATATGTTGTATAGCTTAGTTTTCTGTTGAACAAGTGAGGTGACATGTTAAGAACAACATAGACACTCACCGCTAATAAAATTAGGATAATCTTTCAACGTCTACTGCCTGAAGGCCCTTTCCTTAACTCTTTCAATGCCAGCATGTTTCTAATAATACCAAACACTGACTAGATTAACCCTGTAGGTACCAAAGGGCAGTCATGCACTGTCACAGAGAAGCTGTCCTCCATAAACAGCAAAATGTCTACACCTTTTTTGTTTGGTTCTAATGTTAAGAATTATGGGTGGATTCTTCTGTGCAATAAATGGATCTACCTCATGCAGAGAAAGTCGGCAAAAACAGTGTCATCACTCACCCAACTCCTCTTCCTCCCGCCCTCCCCCCCCCCCCCAAAAAAAAAATAAAATTAAAATCACAAGCTGCACATCAGAGACTTAAGGCAAAAGCAAAGACCCCTGGAAAGAGTTCTCCGAAGAGCCAGAAGAGACAGACTCTGGTTTGAATCGATCTCTGCTGCCACCAGGCATCAGTGGAGGAGACCATTGGTTGGTAATGTAACCCAAGACCTTCTAATGAACTCCCACTCCCAAATAATCCTTTGGGGCAAGTCGAATACTTGAAACAGCATTTGTGGAAGGTCTTGACAAAACGGCAGGGAAACCAAGTTGACCCAAATAAGTGACAGCACCAGAATAGCTCAAGAGGTCATCTACCCATGTTGGCACTGCCTGGGACTGACTCACTGCCAGTTCAGGAGGTATAAAGTAAATCCCACCCCCCTCAAGGAAGCGTAAGGAAAATTCAATACAGGCCTCGCTCTCTTCAGCCTTTCCCAGGGTCGAGAGGGGGAGAGCAAACCAAAGCTGTCTCCAATGGGAATTTTGCTGGTGCTGTAGGATCATACATCTTTCAGCTGCCAGCAGCTGAGTGGAATGCTGATTTGCCACTGGACGACTGCTTCCCTTTGAAAGGCCCAACTGAGCACAAAGGGAAGCGTTCTAGTGACATTTTACCCTGCTACACCGGGCAGCACTAGTGACTGATTTGGCCCTTCAGCAGTTGCTCCCCTTCTGCAGAAATGAGCGTAATAGGTTTGTTTAAATCATATATATCACCAGAAACCTCTGTCTCCAGTGGGAAGCTGCTGTAGTTATCATCAACCACTTTTTCTCAGGCTTCGCAATATCTCTCGGGCACCCCAAACTACGTGACAAGGCACCGGGGATTGCATAGTGAAACGCAAGATCCCTGGACGTCGACACAAAGGATTTCTTTGCATCAAGCAGGGCTCGAAGGAACTCTTCTAATTTCTAAAGGGTAGCTGGGGCAGAGTAGAGACACAAAGGCTGCTGGGGCAGAGTGGAGATAGAGGTGTGAGGAAGTTTCTTACCCAGGGGTGGAATGAACACGCTGTGGCAGATGACTCAGAGGAATCATTTTTAAGTATGCAAATGATCATCTGCTACACCAAGCATCTGAGCCACAATATACAATGTAAACATCTGATCAACAGTAAAGTCTATGGACGGCTAATAGACGTAACACCAGCTTGCTGTCAAGCTCTCCCTTTCATTAGCTGCTGAAGCTGTACTAGTTCACATTGGGCCTCGTACAGCTCCAATCCAACCACACAGGAAAAAATCCCGCGTGACTCATGTTGGCCAAATATATAAAAAATTCATACAAACAGGAGACAAACCCAAACCACTCTACCAGAAACAAACTTTGCGAGTTCCTAGAACGGCAACGCGTACGACACCAGATCGTGAGACAGACGAGAGGATCTAGCTCTGTGCCAAGCAGTGGGCCACATGAGAGACGTGAAATCACATGTCTGCTCCACCGCCTGAGCATGGCAAATATGGTGGGAAGCGGCCGGCGGCGCAAGGCTAGTCACGGCAGCTCTAGCCCTGAAGGCTGCTCACCTCTCCAGTTTTGGGATCCAGCATGGGTAGTTGAGTGGCCGACCGGTCAAGTGGCCTTGCTGGGTATGGGTAACCCCTGCATGGGGGAAATGCAGTGGCAAATGCTGCAGTTGCAGGAGATGGAGGGAGCATATCGTAAGACTTAGTAAAGGTAATGTCTCACTCGCTAACTGAGGCTTACCATGCTTACGAAGAAAAACAAGAACGGAGCCCACTTTAAACTTTGATCTTAAAAAAATCAGTTCTGAGTCAAGATCCAAGAGTGACAGTAGACCATCTTTACCCAACTTTTAGTACTGGAGGCTCGACTCTCATGCCTTCTGGAGTCACTTATACAGCTAATGAGCAAGTGTAAAACACTATCATATCAGAATGACAGCCTTTGACACTCACTCAGCATGGATGCAGATGACCACACACAAGGTGCAATGCAGTAGGAAATAAAACAAAGAACCCTGAAATAACAATCAAACCTCCTGAACCCTGGAGAAGGCTCCACTGTATAGCTCCAGCAGAGGTTTTGCAGTTCAGGTACATCTCTATTTACCATTCCCAATTCAGATTTTCAGAAGCAGAAACAAGTCTGTACAAGCAAACATTGCAAGAAACATTTTTCTGTCCAATTTGGGTTTTGCTTCTACTTTACATAATTTAGCAGCTTCGTAACTTCATATGGGAGTCTGTTTCCCAGCTAAAACTACAGGTTAAATTCTCCATCTATAACCCAGCTCAAACAACTGCATCACAGCTGGAGAGTATGTCTGTCATTATATTTACTTACACCACACAAAAATAAACTGTAGATAACCAAATTTGTAAAGGAATTGGCAGAACTAATCAATTGTTATTACAAAGCTTGTTTGAAGATTAGATATTTCGCTTTGAAATAATAATAAAATGCAGCTAAGTGGGTTAGGAAAAGGAAATACCGTCTCCCTAAGTTACAGCTGATTATACTGCAAGTCTGCCACTCCATGTTTACTCTAAGGCAGATGTACTGATATAATAAAAAAAGCTGGAGTTATTTTAGTCATGCCTACTTTGCGGAGGGAAAAAGTTTGACCTTTTACCTTGCTCGCTGCTGTTGTCTCCGCTCTGGGAAGCGTGGCCCCCACTGGAGGGCCCCGGTGTGCCTGCCGAGTGCGTTGAGGTTGCATCATCATGGTCTCTCCAAGATGAAGGATTCTGGTGTCAGAGTGCCAAGGAATTTTTTCCACAGTTCCCATTCCAATAGCAAATGAAGAACAGAAAGAAAACCGGGAGAAGAGGGGAGGAGGGGGGGAAAAGTATACACATTAGCATTTGTGAAATGTGCCAAACACCGATACTGTTTGCACAGTGTAATAATTCTTCAGCAAAGACAAGCAGAGGAGGTACAAAGATTCACTTGGTAAAATAAAGGGCAGATTTTTTTCTTTTTTAAACTTTCCAAAGAGTTGTCTGGATTTAATTGTTTGAATAGTACTGTGGAAGGGTATTTTAGGGGAGAAAAAAACAAAATATTGACGTTTCTTAATGAGTTATATGGGGGGAAAAGGGGGAGAGCATCAACCTGTAGTTTATCATACTAGGTGTTCACTTTAGGATCAGGACAGCTGGTATGCAAACTATCTCCCCACACTTTATTTTCCAGACTGACCAGAGATGGGAAGGGAGAGGAAGAGGGGGGAAAACCATTTCAAGAAGTAGAGGAGAACATGCATGGGAGAGGAACACATCCTCACACCCTACCCTCTCTCTCACCCATTTGAATGCTGGAAAAAACTTCAAGAAAATGCAAAGTTGTGAGAGGAAAAGCAAGCTTTCTCCGAAATACATTATATACCAGGAAAGATGCTTCCTCACCCCCTGCCACCACCTTGACATGACACATTTCCAAAGACTTTCTAGATGTATCACTCTAACAGTTCGCTTACAAGTATTGTCAAGAATAACCGCCAGGTGATTATATAAAATAACATGTATAGTGATTTTTATGTAATTCTTTCTACATTACTATGCATAAAACACTTCAAAAGGGAACGCAGAAGACAGACAGACGAAGTTTGCAAGACTTGGCTAAGTAAGACCTCAACTACTGTACTTCAGTCACATAATTCATGCAAGCTTTCTAATTTATTGAGTATTGGCTTTCCCGGAGCGAGGAGCTGCTATTTAAATGGATAAGCGAGGAAAACTTAATGTTACAGTTTAGTGCTACTTTGTTGAGTGTATTCTCCTCCTGTCCTCCTCCCCTTTCCTGATCATTCCCAATACCCTGCTGTTGCTTAAAGGAAAACAGGAATTCTACTGTACAGGAAGAGCTTTATCAGCACCACATGAAGGCAGGCAAGAGATGGAATTTCCTCTGGCAGAAAAGGAGAGCAAGAACACATGAAACAGATCAGAGCAGGGGCTGGACCTGCATTACTTGTCACCTGTATGTGACAACTTAAATCAAGAGCATTATAATAATTCAACAACAGAACAAACAAACAAAAAACAACCTGTAAAAAAAAATTCTTATTATGTTTGCTTGTGCTTTAAATCTGCATGGTGAAATAACACTGGACTCTTAAAGCACAAGGAGATCCTGAAAGCAGCAAGCAACAAGTTTGGACAAATTCTTTGGGCAGGACTGATTCTGACCTCATCTACCCCAACGTGAGTAGGAATAAGTTCAACAAAATCAACTGATTTACCCATTGTAAAATTCACTGTAAGTGTGATTAGAATCAGGTCCCAAAATATATATTGAAACATCTCAAAGTAATCTCCTAGCACTGATTAGTACCACATGCTCTATAGCAACGCAAAATAGAACTGCCAAATAACGGCTTGCTACAATACCCAGCAACATAAATCTAGCAGGCCTGACCCAGATCGCAGCAGAGACAAAGGGAAGAGCCCACGACTTCAAAAGGTTCTCAGTAAAGCCCTAGGTGACCAAAGGGTAAGAAGGATCCAAATCTCCTTCACCTTACACAGACACACACATAAGCAGTTCCGTGGCAGGAAGGTATGAGTAAAATCAGAAGACAGGCCAGGATCTGAAATTCGCCTAACCTGTCAGCACAGCAGACAGCACGACAGCACTTATGGCACAAAACCACCACCCCCTCCAAGACCTAGAAGACTGATCTACTTTTCCTCATGCAGAACCACAACAAGAAAAAAAAACCACCAAACAATAGTATTTTATATTTGTTGAGGTTGTTGTATTAATTAGGTCTCAGAAATCACTATTAATGCTGCAAACCCCCACAAATTTCCTTTAAAAAAAAACAATACCAAAAACACCTTTTATCATCGTTTTACAAAGTCAGGTGAAAAGAAATACAAAAAGGAAGATGAGAAGTCTTGAAAGTTCAAGCAGCCCAGATGATGTAAAAAAAAAACCAAAACAACCAAAAAGCTGAAAATAAGGTTAGCAAAAAGTTCAGATGGAAATAAAATGCAAAAACTGAGCAAGTTTCTTTACAGCCTGGATTAAAACACAGTTGTGCCTATGAGCTTCTCTTTTTATCTCTGAGTTAGGAAGCCACTCAAATAGCTTCAAGCTGAAGGCAAACAGCAGACAGGAGCTCTTCAGCCCTCTGCAGCCTCTTAGCGTCAGCTGTTTGCCGGATGGTAATCAGATAAAGAGCTAGAAGAAATACATGAAAAAGGAAAGAAACAATAGCATAGCATGAGTTTAGCCCTCCAACAACATCAGGCTGGAACCTTCTTTTAGAAAATGTAATAATTGCAACATGTTCACCTAGGCGAAACTTTTCAGGGAACACAGTGAGTTATGTTAATTTTATGCACTGCAGGCTCTCTTAAGCTGGCTGCCTTTGGAGCTCCTTATCACACATATGAAAATTACAATAATTAACTGGTAACACCTCAGCTATGTTTTAAGGCAAATGTCATCCAAAACCTATCATACAGTATTTCAAAAGCTAGACCGGCCTTTCTGTTTCGAAACCGTAACGATTTGGAAAGGATCACTGAATAAGACTTCCTGCAGCTGAAAACACTTGCTGTCTCTACCAGGCTGAGTCGTTCTTGACCTCAGTTTGTAGATCCCGTCTTAGAAAGACAGCCTGTATTGATTGGGAACGCAATGTATTTTCTTGTGACACAGTTTTCTTGAGGAAGCAATTTGGCAGAATTTTGTTGAAGGACAGAAATAATAAGATGGGATATTTACAAGATGCGACAGTCGAATGTTGGAGGAATTTGAAAGGGAGGGAAATAGCTAGGCTTTAATATTATAAAAAATGACAAATAACTCTAGGGGTGGAGTTTACAGCCCCATAAAAAGGCAGCATTCTTGTGCTTTGGACTAAGATCATTGTACGTGTCCGTGAACTTCTCCTTTTCTCCCCTAGACTGTTTCCAACTTTGCATCCCTCAAGAAAAACTTCTTGGCCAAATGCCTAATCGTAAGTGGTTATTTCATGTATGTCTTCACAAAAAAATGGGACCAACTGACACATCTAAAGTGTACTTGACTGGAAGAGCTTTAGCAGCATAGTTTAGATACCTAAAGAGATCCTGATCTAAAGCCTGCTAACATTAATTGCAATTTTTCTATTCATTTCAATGAAATTTGTATTAAGCTATCACACTGTAAAAAAAAAAAACTGGAAAAACAAATAGCTTTGGATAAATTACACAAACTGTCAGCATGGCTTCTCGTATCTTCCTACAAGTTTAGTAATACACTTTGCAGAAACGTGTTGGAGAGTAGGGTTGGTGTCTGCTAAAACGCAATTGCCTGTTTTGTGTACGTGCGCATACTATAAAATTTTCACACACGTATGACCTGAACTAATGCCAGATACCACGGAAGGTAAACAGCACACATGTATCTATTCCCAGTAGTTTTAATAATTGGGAGTCAAATATGGTGCTCCTCTTGCTCTTACCTAATTGTGTTAAAGAGCAGTGTTACCAGGAGAAAAGCGGTGAATACTGAGTAGAGCACAATAGAAGGAGATGGAAAATAGATACAAGAAGCTAGGTCTCCAGGGGCAGTATTTTCTATTTGCTGGGCTACAGACTCACAGCTGATAATGCAAGTTGTAATTAATATAAAAGCAGGAGACAATATGGGGAAAGCTTGTACTAGCAGGGCCACAGGAGATCACTCCGCTGCTATCCACTGTTTCTCATTTACACACACAGCCTTCCCTAGAAAACACAATTTTGCCAGTGTTTTTTCCCTTGAAAGTTAAAAAAAAATTGATTTAGCACCACCATTGAATTTTGCTAAATCTAGAAAAGAGCAACAGAAAGGACAAGAGTCTCCTGGTATACAAAGCAAATCTGATGCGTTACGCTTTTGTCGATGCTGCAAATCTGGTGGAAACTGTAAGAGTTTTTAGTTGCTACAGGATTTCTTGAACAGAGATGTTCTAACAGAGAAATTTGATATAGGATAACCTTCTGTTAAATTGCAGTTCTTACTTTGTATGCACAGAATTTCCACTGGGCAAAGCCTGGCTAATTTTTTTGTGAGTGTATGTAGTCCCGCTAGGGCTGATTCTGATCTCGCGCTGCTTTTTATGGTGATATTAAAGACTCAATTAACCATAAGGAATTTCCTTCTTATTTATAACTGGGAAGTAAAATCAATCAGGCCAGCTGATACCCATGTGAGTAAGCTGAGCAGGATTTGGCTCACAGGCATTAACTGAAGTTTTAAGTATACAACTGTGACAGGATCAGGCCCTTACATTTTGTCAGGCAAAATGGACAAAACCATCCATCTTGCAAGAACAAAACACAACTTACTTTCAGAAAGAAACTGCAACGGCTATAGACCTCATCCTTTGGGAAGACGGTTGGACTCAAAGGTCTGGAGGTTCCTCTGCTAAATTAATTTTGCAAACACAAAACTGAACTGAACTACCGATAGGGATGGCGTTTCCCCCCCGCCAAATACAAGCCAAATCCCACTCACCTTGTTCTTACAAGTAACACCTGTAAACACAGTGGAACGACTGATGTGATTGATACCGCAAAAATCTGTCTCTAGGTACCACCATATATCAAAAGATGATATCCTATGCCGGACATAGAAACCTATAAGCATACGTGCATATGTGTTTGTGTGTGTACATCTGTGTTCATCTGTGTCTGCCTGTGTTTTGTACGTATCAAGTTCAGGGTGGTATCTTAGGCACTGTTGCGGAGTGCAGTAATAATAAACTTAC